ACGTTCGGAAGCATCTACATTAGTGTAGATGACGTTCGGAGTCATCTACATTAGTGTAGATGACGTTCGGAGTCATCTACATTAGTGTAGCTGACGTTCGGAGTCATCTACATTAGTGTAGCTGACGTTCGGAGTCATCTACATTAGTGTAGCTGACGTTCGGAGTCATCTACATTAGTGTAGCTGACGTTCGGAGTCATCTACATTAGTGTAGCTGGCGTTCGGATTCATCTAAATTACTGTAGATGACCTTCGGATGCATCTGCATTAGTGTAGATGACGTTCGGAGTAATCTACATTAGTGTATATGACATTCGGAGTCATCTACATTTGTGTTGATGGCATTCGGAGTTATCTACATTTGTGTAGATGACGTTCGGAGTCACCTAAATTAGTGCAGATTACGTTTGGAGTCATCTACACTGGTGTAGATAACGTCCGCACGTTATCTACACTGGTGTAGATAACGTTCGGAGTAATATACATTAGAGTAGATAACGTTCGGAGTCATCTTCATTTGTGTATATGACGTTCGCAGTATTAGGTTCAGAGTCATCTACAATAGTGTAGATAACGTTCGGAGTCATCTACCTTAGTGTCGCTGACGTTCGGAGTAATCTGCTGTATTGTGATAATATTTGGAGTCATCTTCTGTAGATTCAGAGTATTTACAGCATTCAATTCCACTTGGCACCACTGTTGGCAGATTCAAGTATCACGAGGATCATCCACCGCCCAGCGCTCTCTAAGCTGCTGCAGCGTGGAAAATCACGGTCAAATGTTGTGTTTGTTTTGTTGCCTCGAGAAACAAGTTTTTGTAATGTGTGTTTTGTCTTTTGGTTGGCCCGGAGTAAATTGATTCGGAAGTGCTCGGTGACGAGGGGGAAAGAGAGGGGGCACATCATTTCAATAACCAGATGTTGTTGTTGGGAGTGTAGTAGGATCGACGAGTTTGAAGACAACATGATCGATTTAAAAATGCTGAGTTGTTTTCGTTTAAATTTAGAACTGCAAAAAAAAACATTCGTCGGAAGAATTTTGAATACCACGAAGACGAGGTGGAGGAAGAAGAATTAGAACCGTGATAATGTAGTTGTGGCTGTGTGCGACTCTTTGGGTGGTAGTTGATGATGGTGGTGCTTCTGCTGCTGGTGGTGGCGTTGGAGCTTGAAGCCATTCAAAATGGAATGAGACTGAGACTGAGAAAAACGAGTGCATTGTTGTTCGACTGAAACGTGATGTAGACCTAATGTTTGATTACTTGAGATTTTCATGGAAATATGCAGCATGTCTGCGGTGCCCTTCGTTTGGCTCATTCTTTCTCTCCTTGCTTTCTTTGCAATGATCGCCATCCGTCAGTCAATCGGTTCGTTGCTCAGATTTGTTGTTTTCGGCTTATCCATGAATAAAACATGTTTTCGGTAATGCCATCATCCCCCCGTGGACATCGTCGGACGCAACTTATATAATTTTTAATTAAAATGTATTCTTTTGTTGTTGTCTGTCCGCTTTTTGTGTGTTATTTTTAATTTCTTTTCTGTTTTGACTGGTCTCTTCTTGGCCGGAAGGCAAATGAATGGTTGATGTGTGTGAATTTTTCTGCTGTTTCGTAGAAATTGTAAAAAAACAGTTTTGAGAAAAAATGTTAGTGAAAATAAAAATATCTGGTTTTTTATAGAAATAACTTTAAGTTAACGGCATCATTCGTGTTTGGCTTTTTTTATTTCTTTGTTTCATTTCATTCGTGAAATGGAAGACAAATTATGCAAATGTTAAAAATTAATGATTATGTAAATGTTTCTTTTGTGCAGATAAATGTTTACTGTTAATAAAAAAATGTTTAAGAACATAATTTGTAGTTACCACGAAGTGCGATGTGATGAGGATGAAAAATAAGTTCAAATGGGGTTGTATGAATATTTTTTTTTTATTTTAATGTTACTGTTAAATAAAAAAAATTATTTGTGTCTTATAAAAATACGGTTATATTACTCAGATAATTTTTTGTTATAGTACTAAAATGTGTTACTAATCAAAATTCAAAGTTTTGAAATTTACAGTCAGTTGCAGGTATATGGCCACGTATAAAGAGGAGAGTTCAATGGACAAAATATGAAAGTCGTCCTGAGTGTAAAATTTTAATAACGCGATATTCATTAACCGGGAACGTTATTAAGCCCATCCAAGTAAATTATGTAACCGGGTCCAATAAGAACTTCTAACAGTGGTATCTACGAAACTAAGTCTAATTTTGGTTTAAATCACATTTCCTTTTCCAAACATCCATTTTTATACCCTACACCACATAGTGGTATGTCTTTGAGCATTTGTTTGTTACATTGAGAAGGAAGCCAAAGTTCCTTTTGACGATCTGCATAGAATCACATTCTGAGTCGATTTATGCATATTTATGCCGTCCGTCCGTCTGTCCATGTATTTTTGTAAACAAAGTGCAGGTCGCATTTACTGCCCGACGGAGATGATATTTTGCACAAATAATTTATTTGACACAAGGACGAGCCCTATTGAAAATGGAGATAATCAGTCGAAATTTAGATATGACTCCCATATATATCTCCCCGATTTTGGGTTAAATGTGCACCAAATGACCAATATCTGTCCAAATGACCTGAATTTCGGCACATACGACCGAATTTAGTGTAGGAGCAAGTACATCAAATTTGGTAAAAATCGGTTAAGATTTAGCTATATCTCCCATATACAGGGTAAAATGAAAAAACTGCAACCAACTTCAGATTGCTGTCATTTCTATGCCACTCGTCCGACAACTGTCAAAATTATTGCAGTCACAGCTCATTATATTGTTTACAAGCGTACAAAAGCATTTCCGTGAGAATTATCCAGAAAAAAAGTTATTCGTGATGGAATTCAAGCGTGATAGTGTGATTTATTTATATTTGGCTGGAAAACCACAAGTGGCTATCGTTAGAGCAATCCAGCATTTAAATGTGAATAAATCTTTTGTATCCCGTACCATCGCTGGATACCGCGACGTCAAGAAAGTGGACGGAAGAAAACAGCAACATTAGCAGAAATGATTCGAAAAGTAAAGAAGCGGCTTGATCGAAACCCGCGTCGCAATGGCCGAAAAATGGCTCGTGAGCTGAACATATCGCAATATTCCATTCAGCAAATATTGAAAAATGAGTTCGAGGTATAGCCATTGAAATTCCAAAAGGGCAAGAACTTACACCCCAACAGGAATAAAATAGACTCAAAAGAGCTTAAGAGTTGCTTCGCTTGGCCGAAAGTGGTGAACAGCCGAATTTGGTTTTCTCCGATGAGAAAAAATTCGTTGTCCAGCAGGTTGGAAACAAACAAAATTATCGTGTTTACTTGCCAAAGAGGTTCGCGGAAAAAGTGCACCTTCGGTTGGCCTCCAGAACCGATGGTCGCTCTCTGCTCGTATTAATCGACCGTGGAATCAGAATAAATGCCGAATACTATCGCGAAAATATTTTAGAGGGTGTATTAAAGCCTTGGGCACGCAAACATTTTGGCCGCAGACCTTGGGCATTCTAACAGGTCTCAGCACCATCGCACTCAGCTCACGCCACCCAAGAATGGTAACAAAATGAGGTTCCTCGCTTCAATTACAGGGCACAATGACCACCAAAATATCCCGATACTAATTCGTTGGACTATTGTGTCAGGAGTATTTTGGAAAGCAAAAAAATACCAAAGTGTCGATCCCCTCAAGCAAGTGCTTCGCTGGGAATGGGCCAAAAAACACCGCACAGCAACATTCGGGCAGCGTGTGACGATTTCATTGGCCGTTTGAAGGCCATAATTCGTGCCAATTCGAACAAATCTGATATTATTCTAAAATTTGATGCTACCTCCGACATTTTTTGCTTTTTTTTCAATAAAATTTAAAAAAAATGTAAAAATGATGGGGCTTGACTTTGTTACAGCTTTTTATCTCACCCTGTATATTTATCCGATATCAGGCTAATTGTGCTTCAAATGGCTAATATCAGCCCAAATGAAGGGAATTGCGAATAAATTTATCCTAGAAATAAGTACTTCAAATATGTGGAAAATCGGATCAGATGTAGTTATAGCTTCCATACATATGTTTCATCCGAATTGTGGTTTTAAGTCCGTCACATGTGTAATATGCACTCCACCACAATTATCTTTGGTACCAGATATCAGATACAGGTCAGAAATAAGTTCTTAAAATTTTATCAAGATTCAAGTTCAGATTTGGATATAACATATACATTTTTATCCGATTTCATCCGATTTGGTGTTCATAGTTGGTATGATCTACTTCATATAAATTCTCAATATAAACTTTTTTGTTACGGGAGCTTTACTAAATACGCATAGGTGTAGGGTATTATATAGGCGGCCCCGCCCGACTTTTGACCTTTCCCTCCTGGTTTGTCATGTGTTTGGAAAATTGGAACTATAAAGTGCTTAAAGTACTAAAAGCTCTACATTTGGTACTATTTGGATACGGATACCGCTTTCTCTCCTCGTTTTAGAGTGGGAGCAATAAACGAACAGACTCACAAATCGGCAAACAATATATTTTTCTCCATCCGATTTCAAACTCTTTTTCTATTTCGAGCGAATCAGTTCCAACTCTAATTTTTCAAACAGGAGCTACTCGGGAGCGCTTCCTCGCAAAGCAAAAGAGAGAAGAGTAAACTCCATATAAAACTACCACTCTTAGAGCAATGCCGCTAGCTAGTAAGTTTCACTCTCGGGTGAAAATGAGCAAATCTCTCTCTGTCTCTGCTCTCTGCCCAATAGTATTTAATGTAGCACCATGAGCAGAGAGTAGATTCATTTTGAATAAGTTCAGATCATCTAGAATTTGTTTACGAGAAGGAGAGATATTGATATTCTTTTTGAAATCGTCTTAGATTGTGAAGCTTTTTGCTAACATTTCATCTCTAATTGATATGTTTTTCCATTTTTTTTGCCATTTTGATCTAAATGATTTTGTTTTTTTTTTTTATTTTCAGGTATGTCAGGACATTTCTTAGACATAAAAATGGATTTCTTTGAAATATAACCCCACCTGTGAGTATATCTTCAATGCCAACAGCTTTTTCTCTCTTGTTTTAAATTATTTGTATGCTATCGTACCTATTTAGGCCACATCATCAAGAAATTCCATTGAAATATACATATTTTTTTAGAGAAACCCATTTAAGGATCAAAAGTGTTAAAATACCATAAATTCTCACGTACCCCCTCTCATATTACCGCATCTTAATGTGGGAGGAATTCCATAAGTGTAGCCAAGAAGGAATTCCAAACACGATTAATCAACATTCTAGGAAAGGAATTCATTTCAAAAAAAAAAAATAAAATAAAAAAAAAATAAAAAAAAAATAATCAGAGCAATGGTGACTCATCAATAAATACCTAAAATTGCAAAAGAGAACGAACTAAAACAAAAGACATCAGCCAACCATTCGGCAAACACATCAACTCACCTCACATGTTGTAATTAAATCCCTCGTAACCTGTCAAGACTGACAGACAGACGCACTCATCTTTTGTCTAGAACAAGTCTGATGACTTGCTTAAACGGCCATACTTAAATTCTTTCGAAAAGAGATCTCCATTACCATTACCATGATCGGTCACAGTCATCACATAGAGAAAAGGGGTATGCTCAGTTTACCCGCCCCTCTAGATGATATTCCCCTCCTGAATGGACCAAAAATCCATAGCCAACACATTTATTCTCATAATCATCCTGGTGAACTTGTTGCTTGTCGGGATGTTTGGTAGACCATGCATGTATGTGGTTGTGTTCTTTCTATCCACTACTTTATTGTGATCTTAAGGAGCCGGTACTTGTTTTTAATTTTTTTTTCTTTTGGTTCGCATTGTTAACTCAAGTAGTATGGGCTTTTGTCGGTCGATCGGTCTACTGTGCTACGTCATTGTCATCATGATCTGGGCTCATAATTGATGATCATCTTTCGAACAAAATATGTTGTGTCTGTGTGAGAACATTTAAAGTGTTAATGGAATGTCGGGGAATTTCGGATTGCAAGTTCAACTACGTTGGTAGGGATCAATCAGGGAGATTGATTACATTACAAATACTAGTAGGAATGAAAATTCATTCACGAATGTTATGGATATATATTCATTCAAATATCTCGCTGTTTCTTTGATATTCAAATCAATATCCAATTGTTTTTTTTTAATTTATCTATCTTAAATTACCTGAAATGAAATAATTTGCAAACCTTTTATTGAAAATTATTATTATTATTCGGTATTTTTTCCATTTTTTCTAATTTAAAATCCGCTTCTCTTCAGAGCATGAATTCAATATAGAAAAAGCTACCCAGTGTCTTAAAAATATTTGTAAAAAACAAATACTTATGTTTTGAATCCTTTAAACACATGCATGCTTATTATCCGCAAATATCGTCTTTGTGTAGTAATTTTTTAAGGTGAAATCCTTTTCCTACCAATGGAATTGAAAATGTTTACCTTGTTGCTATGCGCTTTTTTGGAAATGTGTCAATGAATTTATTTTTGTTGCGAAACTGTTCTTACTTTTTGTTTGTGTTCTTGCTTGGCGCAATTTTTCATCCCTAAACATTTGCAGAACATACGCCTTCTCGAAATATATATACACAGTGAAAAATTCAACTGAAAAGAATACAAAGAGAAAATTAAAGTCCATTCAATTTTATATTTGTTTCCACTCGATTTTACTTTTAGAGTAAACTCGAATTCTTCTTAGAGTATTTTGACTCCTACTCCTATTTTTCAAACAGGAGTATCTTGCAAGTGATCTCACATAATGGAGAGCAAACTTCGTATGGAAACTACTACTCTTCGAACACTCCCGCTCTCGAGTATATTACCCTTACGAGTAAAACGAGTAATTTTGAGTTATGGCGATAGAATTATATTGAATAGATTTTAAAACGCATGAATAAATTTCAGTGTTCCTCCAGCAAAATAAATATTTATGCTATATACCAGACAGATCTAGGTGTATCCACTAAGAATTCTAGAAAAATACTTCAAAATCTTGATCACGAAATTAATACAACCTCAGAAGTGTCGACTTTTCATATTCTCACTACTACTATTCTGTACTGTCTATTCATTTTAGGTATATGGTGTCTTCAGCAATATTACTGATAACAAACACAAAGAAAATGTTGGTCGAAAATTTTAACCCTCAACAAAGGGGTCTTTGGGGTTTCAAGAATTGCTTATAACCTCCACATAGAAAAGGAGGGTATATTAACTTTGTCATTCCGTTTGTAACATCCCTAAATATTCGTCGTAGACCCCAAAAATTATATACAGGATGAGATAAAAAAAAACTGCAACAAAGTCAAGCGCCATAATTTTTACATTTTTTTAAATTTAAATAAATGAAGGCAAAAATGTCGGAAATAGCATCACATTTAAGAATAAGTTTAGATTTGTGCGAATGGGTCACCTTTGGCTCGAATTATAGCCTTTAAACGGCCAATGAAACCGTAACACGCTGCACGAATGTTCCTCTGCAGTATTTTTGCTCATTCCCGGCCAAGCGCTTGCTTGAGGTGATCGACACTTTGGTATTTTTAGTGCCAACCTTGCTTTCCAAAATACTCCAGACACAATAGGCCAACGGATTGGTATCCGGAGATTTTGGTGGCCATTGTGCGCTGGAAATGAAGCGAGGAACCTCATTTTGTAACCATTCTTGGGTGGCGCGTGCTAAGTGCGTTGGTGCTGAGTCCTGTCGGAACTTCCAAGGTCTGCGGCCAAAATAATTGCTAGCCCAAGAATTTAATACACCCTCCAGAATATTTTCGCGATAATATTTGGCATTTATTCTGATGCCACGGTCGATTATTACGCGCGGAGAGCGATCATCGGCTGTTATGGTTCTGGTGGCCAACCGAATGTGCACATTTTCAGCTGACCTCTTTGGCAAGTAAACACGATCATTTTGTTTGTTTACAAACTGCTGGACAACGGAGAAAATCGGAGAAAACCAAATTCGGCAGTTCACCACATTCGGCCAAGTGAAACAACTCTTTAGCTCCTTGGTGTCTATTTTCTTTCTGTTGCGGTGTAAGTTCTTGCACTTTTTGGAATTTTAATGGCCTTATCCCGAGCTCATTTTTCAATATTAGCCGAATGGAATATTGCGATATGTTCAGCTCACGAGCCATTTTTCCGCCACTGCGACGCGGGTTTCGCTCAAGTCGCTTCTTCTTCAATTTTCGAACTATTTCTGCTGATGTTGCTGTTTTCTTACACGTCCACTTCCTTGACGTCGGGCTACGCTAACAGTATCACGGTAACGAGCGGGGGTACGAGACACAAAAAATTTATTCACATTTAAATGCTGGAGTGCTCTAACGATAGCCACTTGTGATTTTCTAGCCAAATATAAAGAAATCACACTATCGCGCTTGAATTCCATCACGAATAACTTTTTTTCTGGAAAATTCTCATCAAAATGCTTTTGTACGCTTCTAAACAATATAATGAGCTGTAACTGGAATAATTTTAACAGCTGTCGGACGAGTGGCTTCGAAATGACAGCAGTCTGAAGTTGGTTGCAGTTTTTTCATCTCAGTCATCTCACCCTGTACATTCATGATCAGCATAAAGTTCTGAGTCGATTTAACGATGTCCGTCTGTTGAAATCACCATAGAGCGCACATTATTTGACGTAGAGCTTTAAAATTTGACAGAACAATTTGTATTGTGTTTAAAATGGCTGGTATAGAAAATATATATATCCCTTATACAAACGGTACCTCCACATTTTCCCATGGATTTGTCCAGAAGTTTATATTTGTAGTTCGTAAGGGTTCTAGCTCCTGTGGCGAAACATTGTATGTACAACCTCTACACAACGGTACCTTCCTATATTCGGTATTTTCCTGATTTTTGGCAGATTTTTTCACAGGTTTGTCCATAAATTGGTATTTGTAATTCGTAATGGGTTCTAGCTCCGAAACATTGTATGTATAGGTACACGTTTTGGTATAGCCCACATACAACGGTACCTCCCAATATTCGGTATTTTGATGACTTTTGCCACATTTCTCCATGGATTTGTCTAAAAATTGGAATTTGCAGTTCGTAATGGTTTACAGCTCCTGTGAAGAAACAATGCATGTATAGGTCCACGTTTTTCTATAGCCCCCATATAACTGTACCTTCTGATGTTCGGTATTTTGACGATTTTCGCCACATTTTTTCACGGATTTGTCTCAAAATCGGTATTTGTAGGTCATACAGCCCCCATACAACGGTACCGCCCGATATTTGGTATTTTCATGATTTTTGCCATATTTTTCCATAAATTGGTATTTGTAGTTCGTAATGGTTTCTAGCTCCGGTGGCGAAACTTTGTATGTATAGGTCCACGTTTTGGTATAGCCCATATATACAACGGTATCTCCCGATATTCGGTATTTTGATGACTTTTGTCACATTTCTCCACGGATTTGTCTAAAAATTGGTATTGGTACTTCAAATGGCAAACGATACCCACCGATACTCGTTATTTTCATAATCCTAGTCACATTTACCCACGAAATTGTTTCAAATTTTGTATCTAAGAAGTTTTGGCAGATTACAATCCTTCAAGTATAAAATGGTCTATGGTTCCGGTTTTGGTATGGCCCCCATACACGTTTAACAACATTTTTTCAAACGGTCTTACTGGTATTTGTAGTTTTAAGTGGAACACGTGTGAATTCAGATACTTTTATAAAAATTCGGCCCAACCGAACTTAATGTTTTTTTAATGTTTTTGTTTTAATGCTTGTTAGATCTACTTTCACAATCCACTGAATATTTTTCCTGAAATATTTATATGACCAATTTTTTTTATTCTTAGATAAAATCCGCTTGTCACGTGTACTAAAACTGTCTAACATTTTTCTAGAGCCTCATAAAATCTTGGCATTTTTTAAGGGGTCTTCCTAGTTATTATCTGTAAAAATATTTCCGATTTATTAATCATAAAATGTTTATGCCCTCTGCCAAATTGTATTAACAAAACTGTTGCTTGTACTTTCTAA